AAAAAAAAAAAAAAAAAAAAAAAGTCAAAATATTTCGAAGAAAACGCAGCGAGAGTTTAAAGAATCTTGTAATTTATGGGAACACAGTCTTTTATAGTGCGCCTTCGCGCTTACAACGCATGAATAGAGAAATAAATGCATCCTAGACGGATTAGAAAAGTCAACTAACTCAACGTTGCCTTTTAAGCGTGTCATAATGCCGCAAAACCATTTTTTTCTTTCAGTTACAAGACTTACAAACGGAAGGCGTCATGAATGACATAGATCTAGAAGAAATTATGCAAGCTCTCTCCATTGGCTTAGTAGTTGCCACTTTCCTTCTAAACACTAGTCGAGCCTTAAAAGCCATCGAGTTATGCAAGGAGAGTTTGGTTTTGTTAAATAAACCGAGTAAAGAAAAGCAATTTATCAAAAGAATTTACGGAGCAATCTATGAAACAATGTTCAACGCGTACTATCAAGTCAGCGACAACACAAATGCGATAACATGCGGCAGGAAACTTCTCGTCATTTGTCGCGAGTGTGGTGATACAGCCGGAGAAGGGGAGGCTAATATCGCTCTAGCAAAGGTATATTGGAATCAAAGCAGGTACGTTAAGGCAAAAGAATTTAATGAGAGAGCAATCACTATCATGAGAGAAACTGGGGACATGGCAGGAGAAGCAATATGTTATGGAAACCTAGGATCTGTGTTTAACTCTCTTGGTCAATATGCCAAAGCTAGAGAATATTACGAGAAAGCACTCGCTATCAGAGTGAAAATTGGTGACAAAGAGGGAGAAGCAACAGATTACGGAAACCTAGGAACTATGTTTCAATCTCTCGGTGAATATATCAAAGCTAAAGAATATCACGAGAAAGCACTTGCAATCACAAAGAAATTTGGAGACAAAGCGGGAGAAGCAAGAAATTACGGAAACCTTGGAACTGTGTTTCAATTTCTTTGCGAATATGTCAAAGCTAAAGAATATCAGGAGAAAGCACTAGCTATCGCAAAGAAAATTGGAGACAAAGAAGGACAAGCAAGAAATTACGGAAACCTTGGAACTATGTTTCAGTCTCTCGGCGAATATGTCAAAGCTAAAGAATATCACGAGAAAGCACTTGCGATCAGAATTGAAATTGGTGACAGAGCAGGAGAAGCGTCAAGTTATGGAGGCCTGGGAACCGTGTTTAACTATCTTGGTCAATATGTCAAAGCTAAAGAATATTACGAGAAAGCAATCGCAATCAGAATGAAAATTGGTGACAAAGAGGGAGAAGCAACAGATTACGGAAACCTAGGAACTGTGTTTCAATCTGTCGGTCAATATGTCAAAGCTACAGAAAATTTCGAGAAAGCACTTGCTATCACAAAGAAAATTGGACACAAAGAGGGAGAAGCAGCAAATTACGGAAACCTAGGAGCTGTATTTCAATCTCTCGGTGAACATGTCAAAGCTAAAGAGTACCTCGAAAAAGCACTGAAGATCAGAATGGAAATTGGTGACAGGCGAGGAGAAGCAGAAGTCTATGCAAACCTAGCTGGATTATCTCTATCTCTAAGAGAATATTGGAAGAGTAAAGAATATTGTGATAAAGCACTCGCAATTTTTAATGAAATTGGCGGCAAAACAGAAGAAGCAACAGTTTATGGAAATTTAGGCGTTTTGTTTCAATCTATTGGCGATAATGTCAAAGCCAGAGAATATTACGAGAAATCTCTTGCGATCAAACTTCAAATTGGTGACAGAGAAGGAGAAGCAACAAATTACCATCGTCTGGGGTCTGTGCTACGAGCGCTTGGTGAATATGCCATGGCTGAAGAATACTTCAAGAAGGCACTCTCAATAGCTAAACATAACAGATCCGCTGAAATTGAGTTTAAGTGCTATGTTAGCCTGACATTCACAAACCTTTCACAAAACAGGGTTCAGGAAGCGTTTTCCTGTCTGTCTCAAAGCGTAACAAAATGCGAGAATTTGCGAAATAATAATGCAGAAAGTGATCACATTAAGATATCATTAGCAGACAAGCACAATTTTCCCTACCAGCTGCTCAGTAGATTGTTTTGCGCCGCTGGAAATCTCACGAATGCCCTTAATGCTGTAGACCTGGGACGGGCTAGAGCCCTAGCAGACTTGATGGCAACTCAGTACTGTGCTGAAAAACACATATCAGCCGACCCGCAATCATGGACTGGCGTTGAAAATGTCATAAAGAAAGAAAGTGACTGCACTTGTCTTTACATTTCGTATGATTCTCAAGAAGTGTTTTTGTGGCTTCTCGAGAAAAGCGGAGTCATTCATTTCCGAAATATTACAGTGGAGAAAAAGACCCTTCACACCAGATTAGCAAAGGTTGCTAGAAAT